CGGTCTCCGCCAGGCGCCTCGCGAGTGGCACAACACAGTGAGGACGACGATTGCGGCACTTGGGTTTGCTCCTTCGACAGCTAACCCGTCGCTGTTTTCTGCGCACCGACACTTGGCTGCCGCCGTTCTACATCCGCGTGTACGTCGACGACTTGGGTTTTGCCACTCCTGACACTGAGGCACTGGCCCTAGTGAATTCAGAGCTGCATAAGAGATACACGTGCACAGACCTGGGTGAGTTGTGCAGCTATCTTGGCTTGCAGATCATTCGGGACAGAGCATGGCACACCATCACCTTGACTCAGTCATACATGGTGCACCAGGTCCTTCAGCGCTTCCGCTTCCAGTACTCTTCGCCACAGTCCACTCCTCTGCCTACCGGTCACTCGCTCTCAGCTCCACCTTCAGACAAGTCCGTAGAGCCGAGTGGCCCGTATCCAGAGCTTGTGGGTTGCCTCATGTACCTGATGACCTGCACTCGACCTGACCTTGCCTACCCTCTTAGCATCCTTGCACGCTACGTTGCGCCCGGGAGACACCGACTAGAACACTGGGAGGCCGCTAAGAGGGTGTTGTGCTACTTGTGCAGTACGTCGGGCATGGGGCTCATGCTTGGAGGACGGGCTCGAGTTGTTCTCATTGGCCACGCAAACGCGTCTTGGGTTGATGACCTGGCTACGCAGCGGTCGTCACACGGTTACACCTTCAGCATAGGCCCCGGTTTTGTTTCTTGGTGGTCTACCCGCTCATCTTCTGTTCTCAGTTCGAGTTGTGAGGCTGAGATCTACGCATGGGCCATGGCTACACAGGAGTTACGTTGTCTCACTTACCTGCTGACCGGCTTGGGAGAGCGGCCTAGTTCTCCTCCAGTTCTGTACGTAGACAACAAGGCCATGATTGCCTTGTGTCAGGGGCACTGACTGGAGCACAGGACGAAGCACATCGCTCTGCGTTACTTCCTTGCTCGAGAGTTGCAACAGCGTGGTCAGCTTCGTCTTGCTTTCGTGGCCACTCAGGCCAACACAGCTGATATATTCACCAAGGCACTTCGACCTCGTGATCATCAGCGTTTCTATACTGTTTTAGGCCTTGTGCCTACTTTGCCTCACTTGCTCACTTCGTGACTTTGCTTGTACTGTGATCTATATACTTATACATGCATGCTTACACTTGCTAGGTTGTGATAATTGTACTGCTTGTCCCGATTTATGTAATTCTGCATGTGAGTTGGCCTTGTGGCCATTTGCTTGTGCTCAGAATGTGTGGTGATTTCGTGATCCACCCTGAGCTTGCTTTGTTTCTCTTGACTTGTCTTGTGACCCCTTGCTCCTCCACTTTGTCTATGGGGGTGTGTCAAACTATTATATTGTGCGTGTTGTGTAGGCTGTAGTGGGGTAGCCACAACCCAATTAGGGTTAGTACTTGTACCCAACATTTTCATAGTTCATTCATCCTCGCTGACTCTTCTGACAATTTTTGAATAAACCACCCCAAACTCGTAACTCGCATGATGTTTAGGGTTGTCCCGTTTCCAGATCGCAACTTCTTCCGATGTTTTTTTTTTTTTTTCGAAGTTAATAGATTCAATTGGCTCACTCGGAAAACTGCAGAGTTTAAAGTTTTTTTGGTGGTAGTTACACGTATGACCACGTCATTTTCTCGCGTTAACTAAACTACCAAACAGTAGAAAACAATTGATATAGTGAAATTACTCGTTGTATTTTTACCGGAAATGTTATCGAGTCCAATGTGGCATGCTTTCCCGTAGTCAGGCAAGGTCCCACTTCGTGTCAGAACGTGCGAGGAAAACAACAAAATGGGCAAGTACCCCTTTTGTACACCCTGTATCCCACATTCGCTGTATCACTTACATTAAAGCTTGGCCTGCAGGAACTCCCCGCGTCAGGTGTGAAGTTGGTCACAATTGCTTGAATTCGGCTCCATGTGGTGCTAAAGCGATAGATGTAAACTCTGAAATCGTTGGGGTAGGGTAACTCAGAGCACGCATACGGTTGAAGGACCAGTAACGTGTGAACTCAGTAAGGAAAACAGCAACGGTTTCTCGTAAAGTTCAATGCTGCATTTTTTATATGGGTACCGCATAACAAGAACACTTTGCAAACTTCACAGTGCCTTGCTCAACGCACCACAGTGGCGTGGCGAAACTGGCTTTTAACGTGAAGCCCAGAACACATCGCGAGAACCCTAATTAGCAGCTCTTTACCATTTTTGGAATCACAACGACCACAAGCTGAAAGTTCTGGATTTTGTGATGTAACACCTCTATCTCCGGGGGGTATCTCAAGTGGGAAGGACGTGACAAACGACGGCGCGAGAGACTCTCTCGCATGTGTATTTGGGACCCGAGGCATCTGACTGTTCACCACTTTCGAGAAGTTCTCGACATCCCCCACTTGATTCCACGGCCATCCCAACGCCGTCGTTTTTTTTTTTTTTAATTGGATGTGCTGGCAAACACCGCCTTTGAGACAAACCCTCACTACTTCCCAGTTGCATCCTTCGTACCTATTGCTACCACCGCCAAACACACAGAACAATGCCTCGTCATAATTACCCTAGATAGTTGCGGCGTACTGCCCTGCCGTAGCTGAATTCTGAGCAGGTGCTTCTTGCCTTATAGTGGTACCGATCATGGCGGAGGCGGTCATAGTAGTGCGCGGAGAGTTTGCTGGACGACAAGTTTGACGCGTATGAGACGACCAATTATCGCATGTGGGTTCGATCCAAAACCGAGGCGTTTTCCAGGTGAGCCGACGAGCATCTATGATGTTCCCTGTAAATGCTATACTACTTCGAGCTGATGGGCTGGAACTTGCGACGGCTTGTTACATTGCAGCTTCATTAGTGCCACATTTTCCAATTGGCATTTAAAAGCACGCGACTCGCGTAAAATGGGACGCCCAAAACCTGTCAACAATTGGCGTATCCAGCAGGCATGCGCACCTGGGCATGGCCTACAAAGCTGTTAGCACACACAAAGCAATCATTTCGAGCCAAGGAATGCAGATGCAATGTCACTGTGTAGCCGAACAATGGAACCCCTTTCACATTGTGTTTCCTGGAGGGGTGTGTGTTTGACCGCATGCCAGTTTGGCCAATTGCGCGGTAGAGAATCTTCCACTATTGTCGTTACAGCTTGGAGTTTTTCGAACTCAGGTTCAAAATAGACTACGAATTCGTGTGCAGGTTGAGAAAAACATTTTGGGGCTATAACAATCGTGATTACAGCGATAGAAGTTTGGATAAGGCATTGCTGACGCGGCGACAACATCCAATTGTCAGCGTGTGGTGTGAAAATTGGATGTTACAGCTCGGATGTCACGCGCCTGTGGCCGACGATTCGCCTAGGGTTACCCATAATCTCGTCATCAGCCAGTAATCGCCTTGGGCCGCCTGCGTCACTGGCGTTACAGTCAAACGCATATAGTCGCTGCGCGAATCGCGTGGATATCAGGTGAGATATTTTACGTCAATGACGCAATCTCTGACATTGATCTTGTCTGTGCCTTCTATATTCCCAGGATAGGGTGAAGAAGCAATCTACGATCCCCCTATCGTTTCATTTCTGGTTCCGAAGTTATATACATCCCGCGTTTTCGGCCACAGCAACGCCATACAAGTTTTGGTAAGCTCGCTTTTGGTGCTCGATGCTCTTTGCTGACTAACTATGGTTCTGTGCTGTCTGGCTCAGTTGTGTTTGTTGGCAGCATGTTGCAGGTATGGAGTGTCGTTTTACTCCTAAGTGTTAGAATAATGCGTGCTGCAATTGTGGAATAACTATTATCTCGTACGTTGTATAGAGCTCTGAGCGCTGGTAGGATCTGTTAGGCATGTGCTAATATTCGTGGTTATTATTATTATCCGTGAGTGAACATGTTAATCTGTTAGGCACTGCAGAAAATCACAAATATAGCAGGAGCTTTCGAATGTTTGTGGCACCATTTGAGGTCTGAACTAACAATTCCAATCAATGTAGCGCATGCAGTGGAAGCAGTAACCATATTTTTTCTGATGCGTAAGTTTCAAATTCGTATAATTTACCACACTAAGTGTACTATGGTAACCTTTTAGATCCGTTACAGATCCTCTAGTACGGATTTCCTCGATTCTTGTACTGAGTATGAACATTATTGGACGTTTTCTGATGCAATCGTTGGCGAGCCTGACGAGGAGTGCACTTACAAACCTGACAACGAGACCTCAAACAATCCCTGCACGTAGAGGAATCCACATGATAGACCTCAAACATTGGTGTTTGGGACATACTTCAAGCAGTGCTTTAGGATTTCTTGAGGAATGATTTCCACCAAAAAAAATTGAACTCGGAGTTCCGTGCCAAGCTGCGGCTATTCCCTTCTCTCCGCCCATTTCCAACTCTTCTTCCGCCCTCCTCCTTGCGTCAGGCGCAAGCCTTCGGAGTCTCGAGGCCACAAGAATCACAACTTGGATTTCCTCAATAGCTATGGTTTCGCGCCGCAAAATGCGGAGCTCATGCCACGTGTAGAAGAAAGCTCGTCGTTCAATCATGTCAAAGAGGGAGACGAGGAAGAGCAGGGTTACGGCGGCGACGGGGCCTTCAGGGCGGATAACGGGGAGAGCGAGGCGGCCGAGAGGTTGGCGGAGAAGGTTCGAAGGCTGAGGGAGCGCGGGACAGCAGCGGCAACAGCAGCAGCGGCAACAGCGGCAGCGGTAACAGCAGCAGCGGCAACAGCGGCAGCGGCAACAGTGGCTGCGGCAACAGCGGGAGCGCCAACAGCGGCAGTGGTAACAGTAGCAGCAGTGCAAGCAGCCACAGGAGTAGGGAGGAGGAGGAGAGAGGGCTGCGTGGTTTCCTACGGCATTGCTGCAAGGACAGGCGGGCAAGCACGCCCCATGAGAGCTGCGCGGATGGTGCGGAGGACGGTGAGGGGAAGGAGAACGAGAGCGTGGCAGGAGCTCTTTTGAAGCGCAGCTTGACGGCGGATGCTACGGGGACGACCATGGAGCGGGGCGTGCCTAGTACTAACGGCTTGACAGAGAGCATGATGGCAGGCGCGAGCTTGCCGCGATCGGCGAGCGAGGTCATGCTGCAGGACGCGGAGATGGACGAGATGGACAGAGAGGTGCTGCAAGGTGCGCCCAGGTTCACAGCGGTGCTGTGCTAGTACTGCTGCTGGGCTGTGGTCCGATGCACCGCCTCTGTCGTTGTGCGCCCATCCTCACCATTATTGCTGCTCGTAGCCATCTCATCGTCCACGCGACCACGCCGCAGCTGCCTGCAACACTCCCCCACTCCCGTGTAATCCTTCCCCTCCCTATCCCCCCCCCCCCGCTCCCAACCCCCTCTTCCCCCCCCCCCCCCAATTACCCGTTCCCCCCTTCTCTCCCCCATATCGGCGCGTGGCAGAAGCGTTCGTGCGTGTGGTGGGGCTGCAGCAGCGTGTGCAGCACAACCGCGACCTGGGCTTGTTCCTGGTGCTCATGGCGCTCTTCATCACCATCCTTTACCTCCAGACCGGCTCCTCCAGAAGCTATGAAATCACCTCCGCGCACTCCGTGCTCTTCCCCCCCCGTATGCTCCCCACTACCCCTCTCGTGCTCATCCCCGGTTGCTTCCCCCTGACCCTCCACACTCCCCCACACTGTCCTTCTCTCCTCTGTCATTTACCCGGGTGCCCCAGCCCTCACTAGTGTTAACGCATTCCTTCGAACGCACTGTCCTTATAGCGCGCATTCATTGGGGCGCGCGCATTCGGGAATTGTAGCGTGGGTGCAGCGATGCCAGTAGGGCAGGGCATCAGTCAACCTGCATTCTGCTGGCTCTCCGAAGGCCCTTGCTGTCGTAGGCCCTTCTAACACATCCTTATGCGATCACTACTACCGCCGTGCCCTTGCTTAGCTCCCCCGAACCGTCGCCACGTCTCCTCTCAGTCGACTCCCCTCACCCTTGGCCCTAGTTGCACCTCCCCTCACCCCTCAACCTTGGCCCAAGAGCAGGGCATGCGTCAGGACGCCTCCAACACTTTCGCTGGTCCGAATGACTTCTACAACTGGCTCAACACCAGCATCGTGCAGGTGCGTCCCCTCCCCCCCCTCGTGAAATGAGTCGTGTTTTGAGTCAACTCAAAACACGACTCATTGGGCTCAACGCCAGCATCGTGCAGGTGCGTCCCCTCCCTTCTCCCCTTGCCTCGCATCGCTCCTCATACACCTGCTGCTGCGTGTTGCCGCACATCCAATCCAAGCCTGCCCAGCCACCAACCCACTCTGCCTGCCCCATACGTCTCTCTTGCCTGCATTGCATAATATCCCACACACTTTTCCAACACCTTGGCTGGCCTGCATGACTTCCTCAACCGGCTCAACACCAGCATCGTGCACGTGTGTTCCCGCCCTCTCCCCTTCATCTCTGAGTTGGAGCTCCTCGTGCACTTAATGCATATTTCTTCACGCACACCCGAGCCTACCCGCCGCCCACCCGCGAGGCACCACATCGAATCCCGCATTAAATCCCGCACCAAAGCCGCATCAAAGCCGCATCAAAGCCGCATCAAAGCCCCATCAAAGCCCCAACAAAGCCGCCACGTCAAAGCCACATCAAAGCCGTGTCAAAGCCACATCAAAGCCGCATCAAACCACATCAAAGCCGCGTCAAAGCCACATCAAAGCCGCGTCAAAGCCACATCAAAGCCGCGTCAAAGCCACATCAAAGCCGTGTCAAAGCCACATCAAAGCCACAATAAAGTGTCAAACATTATATATGTTGTATTTGTGTAGGCTACAGTGGGTTAGTCTTTAGGGGGTACACAATTCTAGGGTTAGGTACTTGTACTCCCTTTCCTTTCTAGTCCAACACTTCTTCTTTCTAACATGGTATTAAGAGCGTAGGTTTAGACCTAGGATCGCTCCTTAGGGCCCACCGTTCCGTTCGAAGCGCCCTAGAGCGCCTTTCTCCTAGTGCGCCCTCGTGCGCCTCGCTGTCTCCTACTGCCCGTGCGCAGCTCAGTAGAGCCGCACGCGGCCTTTTTTTCTCGCGTGCGTCGCCCCCTAGCAGCCCGCGCGCGGCGTTTTCTGCGAGCGCGCCGCCCGTTAGCCGCCCACGCTGCCACGCGCTGCCCGCTAGCAGTCCGTCGACGGGCCCCTCCTGGCCGCACGTAGCCCGCTAACGACCGGCAGCCCCGCCCGTAGGCCGCCCACGTGCTAGTCAGGCCCACGCAAGGCCACGGCCCGCCCGCTACAGCCGCCCGTGTGCACGCCCCCCCTGTCGCACATTGCCCCGTAGCCCGGCCCGAGCCGAACTGCGCCGCCCGAACCGAGCCGCGCCGCCCGAACCGAGCCGCGCCGCCCTAACCGAGCCGCGCCGCCCGAACCGAGCCGCGCCGCCTAGGCAGAGCCGTGCCGCCCTACTGTTCCTACTACTGCAGTTCCTACTACTACTACCACTGCAACTATGGCTAGTCCTTCTGTAGCTTTCGATGCTGAGGGCCGCCCACTGAAGTTTGAGATCTGGCTCGATGACTTACACCTATTCCTCCAGCTCGCTGCCAAGGAGGATATCTCACTGTACGATCACGCGCTAGGCCATGCTACTGCCCCTGCTGCTACAGCTGACAGTACTGCCCGCTCACAGTGGCAGACTCGTGACGCTCACGCTCGCTTCGCTATTCGCAACTCCCTGCCGGTAGATGAGCGCGAGCACTTTGGCCAGCACAAAACTGCGCAGGCACTGTACACTGCTGTAGTTGCACGCTACTCCTCACCTGCCTCTGCTGCGCTAGGCCGTCTCTCGCTCCCCTACCTGTTCCCAGACGTGTCAGCTTTCTCCACAGTCTCTGACCTCATCACGCACCTCCGCACTAGTGAGGCCCGCTTCCGTGCTGCTATGCCCGCTGAGTTTCTTGATAAGAACCCCCCCCCGCCCTGGCTCACTCTCTACCACCTAGTCACTCGCCTCCCTGACACTCTGCGTTCAGTCAGGGACCACTTCCTAGCTCGCTGCCCCACTGAGCTCACCATTGACCTCCTCGAGAAGGAACTGCTTGCAGCCGAGGCTAGCATAGTCGCTGTAGGTGCCTCTCGTGGCGACCCCCGCACCTCTTTCTTCGAGGGGTGTTCCCCTTCCCCCCTTCTCCCCTCTGTCGCCTCTGCTGCTGCTGTCGACCTAGTTGGTACTGAGCAGGTCGGTACTGCGTCCGCTCCGAGCTGGCGCCGCAGCGGCAAGGGCAAAGGGGGCAAGGGAGGTGGAGGTGACGGCGGGGGAGGCAGTGGTGGGGGTGGTGGCGGCGGTGGGGGTGGTGGCGGGGCTAAAGGGGCTAGTGGCAGCGGTGGGGGTGGTGGCGGCAGCGGCGGGGGAGGTGGCAGGGGCGGGGGCGGTGGTGGTGGCGGCGGTGGACGCGGAGGCGGCAGGGGCGGTGGTGGACGGGGTGGCAGCGGCGGAGGTGGTGGTCGTGGAGGCGCTGGCGGTGGCCAGAGCCAGCAACCGACTCCGTAGCCCCAGGAGCTTCGTGAGTGGTACTCTCAGCACGGGGGGGGGGGTGGACTTAGCTGCACGTACGTCATCCGCACAGGTGACCGCACTGGTCAGACGTGTGGGAGGGCGCACACCACGCAGCGCTGCTTCTCCCGCCTCGACGACGCTTGGCGTACTCAGTTCCCTGCTGCCACTGAGCTGCCTCGCTGGGCTGATCTGATGAAGAAAAACATTGATATCTATGCTCTAGACTTTGATGCTATTCTCACTGCCATGTATGTGTTGTCTACTAGTGGAGAGGGTGCTCAGTACCTGCGTGTTCCGCCCGACCCGGGCATTCGGACCAGTGAGGCTGCCGCTCTAGGTGCTAGTGCGTCTGTTGCCCTAGTTGCTGGTGAGGCTGCCGCTCCAGGTACTCCCGTGTCTCCTGCCCCAGGTACTGGTGAGGCTGCTGCTCTAGGTGCTCGTGAGTCTGCGCCCCCTGGTACTGAGTCTACTGAGGCACTGCACACCTTCACACTGGACTCAGGTGCTTCTCGCTGTTTCTTTCGTGACCGCACTGCCCTTGAGCAGCTTGCTCGGCCAGTTGCTGTCTCCCTCGCTGACCCCTCTAGGGGTCCGGTCATTGCGACCTCCTCCACTGTTCTTCCTTGTCCTGCGGTTCCGTCGGGCACACTGTCAGGTCTCCACCTCCCCTCATTCTCTACGAACTTGGTGGCGGGTTGTGCGCTCCAGGACGGGGGTGTCCACCAGTTCACCCCTGCCTACGAGCGCGTGACACACTGCACGTGTGCTCGGACGGGCCGTCACCTGGCTACCTTCACTCGGCAGCCGGGGTCGGACCTGTACACACTGACCACTTAGTCCCCTCAGGTAGCTGCGTCTGCGTCTACTTCAGGTCAGCTGTCTGCCCCCTGCTCGTGTCGCTCTCTAGCACACGAGACCGTCCTCTGGCACCACCGCCTTGGTCACCCGTCAGTGCAGCGCCTTCGTGCCATGCACAAACGGTACCTTGTCTCTGGTCTTCCCAGGGTTCTCCCTCCCCTCCCACCCTCGCCTGCTCCTCCCTGTCTTCCCTGTGTCGAGGGGCGGCAGCGCGCCGCTCCTCACTCCTCCTCGTTTCCCCCGACGACTGCTCCCTTGCAGACGCTCCACATGGACGTGTGGGGCCCAGCCCGCGTCCGTGGACAAGGTCAGGAGAGGTACTTCCTGATCGTTATTGACGACTACTCGCGCTACACCCCGGTCTTCCCCTTGCGCACCAAGGGTGAGGTCCCTGATGTCTTGATCCCTTGGATCCGCGCTTCTCGTCTCCAGCTCAGTGAGCGTTTCCAGTCGGACTTTCCTGTCCTGCGTTTGCACTCTGACAGAGGTGGTGAGTTCTCCTCCGACCTCTTGGCAGCCTACTGTGCGGAGCACGGCATCCGCCAGTCGTTCACGCTTCCGGCCTCTCCACAGCAGAATGGGGTTGCTGAGCGCCGCATTGGCTTGGTCATGGAGGTCGCTCATACCTCCTTGATCCATGCGGCTGCCCCCCACTTTCTGTGGCCGTTTGCGGTCCGATACGCTGCGCATCAGCTCAACCTCTGGCCCCGTGTCTCCTTGCCGGAGACTTCCCCGACACTGCGTTGGACGGGAGAGGTTGGCGATGCGTCGCGTTTTCGGGTCTGGGGTTCTCGAGCTTTTGTTCGCGATACGTCCGCGGACAAGCTCTCCTCCCGCGCTGTTCCTTGTGTCTTCCTTGGCTTTGTCCCGGACGCGTCTGGTTGGCAGTTTTACCACGCCACCTCGCGCCGTGTCCTGCCCTCTCAGGACGTCACTTTTGACGAGTCGGTGCCCTACTACCGCCTCTTCCCCTACCGCACTGCCCCGCTCCCCCCCCCGCCTCTCTTCCTTGCGCCAGGTGCTGCTGTGGTAGACCCCCTCCCCCCTCAGGGTGCCGCTCCCTCAGGTGTGTCCCAGGTAGACCCGGTTGAGCCTATCGAGGTAGCTGTCGACTCTCGTCCTGCTAGGGGTGCTGAGCCTGAGCGAGCGGAGCCTGAGCGTGATGAGCCTAGGGGTACGGAGCCTGGGGGTGCGGAGTCTGGGGGTGCTGAGCCTGGGGGTGCGGAGCCTGCGGGTGCTGAGTCTGGGGGTGCTGAGCCTGGGTGTGCTACGTCTGAGGGTGCTGAGACTGAGCGTGCTTCACCTGAAGGAGCTCTCTCCTCACAGCAGCTACGAGAGTGGTACTTACAGTACTGCAGCCTCAGGAGGGGTGCTTCTGGAGCTAGGAGTGCTGCTGGAGCTGGTGCTAGTGCTTCCCCTCCTAGGCGGGAGCTGCCCTCTCCCCAGCGGCTCCGAGAGTGGTACACTCGGCGCTGCAGTCTCCGGAGTGGCGCTCCTAGTGCTGCGGACCCTGGTGCTGGAGGTGTTGCTGCTGCTGGCGGTGCTGCTGGTGCTGGAGCTGCTGGAGGTGCTGCTGCTGGCGGTGCTGCTGGCGCTGCTGGAGGTGCTGCTGGTGCTGGTGCTGCTGGAGCTGCTGGAGGTACTGCTACTACTGGAGGTGCTGCTGGTGCTGCTGGAGCTGCTGGAGGTGCTGCTGCTGCTGGCGGTGCTGCTGGCGCTGCTGGAGGTGCTGCTGGTGCTGGTGCTGCTGGAGCTGCTGGAGCCGCTGGTCCTGGGGGTGCTCGTACTGGAGGTACTGGAGCTGCTGGGACTGGGCCTGCTGAGGGGGTTGTCGCTGGAGGTGCTGCGCGGCCGCGCCCGTACTACGTTCCGCTCCTTCAGCAGGTTCTTAGTCTCCCGCCCTCTACTGGTCCTTCTCCTCCCCTACTGAGTCCACCACCTGTCCAGTCGCAGTCCCAGTTACAGCCAGCCTCTCCACTGCCTGGTCCTTCTCCTTACGCTGAGCCGACGGGAGGTCTTACGGAGCGTCGTGAGCCTGAGTCTCGTCCTCCGTCGCCTGAGTCTCGTCCAGCGTCGCCTGAGTCGCGTCCAGAGTCACCTGTCCGTGCTGTCCGCTCTGGTCGTCGTGCTCCGCGTGAGCGACCTCCTCCTGTCCCTGGCACTCACTATATGACTCTGCGTCCTTCCACTGCTCCACAGCGTGTCCCTCTGCCGTCTCCTCCTGCGTCCTCTCTTCCTGCTCTTGCTGACCCGGAGTCTGACTCTCTTCGTGCTGCCAGTCCTACTGTCACACGTCTCCTTGCCACTGTTGTCACTGACCCTTCCTTCGAGTCCTCTGCTGCGTCTGCTCTAGTCGCTGAGCTTGTTGAATTTGCTGCCGCCTGTCGTCTAGACTACGCCGCTAGCCTTGTTGCTGAGTCTGAGTCTGTCTGTCCTCCGTCCGTCGGGGGTGAGTGTGCTCTTGGCACGGACGTCCTTGAGGACAGACACGAGGAGTTTGAGTGCTTTGCCGCTGCTTTGCCTCATCTCGTGTCCATGCTAGTTGCCCCTGAGGGAGACCCGGATGCACCAGACATCCCGACCCCACGCTCCTACGCAGAGGCGATGGAGGGTCTCTACTCCTCTCAGTGGCAGACAGCCATGGACGCAGAGATGGCTTCCTGGAAATCCACAGGCACCTACGTCGACGAGGTTCCCCCACCTGGGGCGAACATCGTCAGTGGCATGTGGATTTTCAGGGTGAAGCGGCCGCCTGGTTCTCCGCCTGTCTTCAAGGCACGTTACGTTGCACGAGGCTTCAGTCAGCGAGAGGGAGTTGACTTCTTCCAGACCTTCTCCCCGACCCCGAAGATGACCACTCTTCGGGTTCTGCTACACGTCGCCGCTCAGCGTGACTACGAGCTCCACTCTCTTGACTTCAGCACTGCGTTCCTACAGGGCACCCTGCACAAGGAGATCTGGCTGCGCCGCCCACCTGGCTTCACTGGGTCGTTCCCTCCTGGTACCCAGTGGAGCCTCCGGCGGCCAGTCTACGGTCTCCGCCAGGCACCCCGTGAGTGGCACGACACACTGAGGACTACGCTTGCGGCTCTTGGGTTTGCTCCTTCTACTGCTGACCCGTCGCTGTTTCTACGCACCGACACCACTCTGCCGCCGTTCTACGTTCTCGTGTACGTCGACGACTTGGTCTTTGCTACTGCTGACACTGAGGCACTCGCCCACGTGAAGTCGGAGCTGCAGAAGAGACACACGTGCACAGACCTGGGTGAACTGACAAGCTATCTTGGCTTGCGGATCACCCGGGACAGAGCACAGCGCACCATCAACTTGACTCAGTCACACATGGTGCAGCAGGTCCTTCAGCGCTTCGGCTTCACGTACTCCTCGCCTCAGCCCACTCCTCTGCCTACCGGTCACTCGCTCTCAGCTCTACCTTCGGATGAGTCCGTAGAGCCGAGTGGCCCGTATCCAGAGCTTGTGGGCTGCCTCATGTACCTGATGACCTGCACTAGACCTGACCTTGCATACCCTCTTAGCATCCTAGCACTCTATGTCGCTCCTGGCCGTCACCGGAAGGAGCACATGGATGCCGCTAAGAAGGTGTTGCGTTACCTGTGCAGTACGTCGGGCATGGGGCTTGTGCTTGGAGGACGGCGCGACATTGTCCTCACTGGACACTCAGACGCTTCTTGGGCTGACGACCAGGCTACGCAGCGGTCGTCTCAGGGTTACACCTTCAGCCTTGGCTCTGGCTCTGTTTCCTGGCGTTCTACACGCTCTTCTTCTGTTCTCAGCTCCAGTTGTGAGGCTGAGATCTACGCCACAGCCATGGCGGCCCAGGAGCTACGCTGGCTCACCTACCTGCTGACCGACCTTGGAGAGCGGCCTCGTTCTCCTCCAATGCTGTACGTCGACAACAAGGCAGCCATTGCCTTGTGTGAGGAGCACAGACTGGAGCACAGAACGAAGCACATCGCTCTGCGCTACTTCCTAGCGCGAGAGATGCAGCAGAGGGGTCAGCTTCGTCTCTCGTACGTGGCCACTCGGGCCAACACTGCTGATGTGTTCACCAAGGCGCTTCAGCCTTGTGATCATCAGCGTTTCTGTACTGTTCTAGGCCTTGTGCCTACTCTCCCTCACTTGCTCACTTCTTGACTCTGCTTGTACTATGATCTCTATATATATACCTGCATGCTTACACTTGCTAGGTTGTGATCACTGTACCTCTTGTTCTATTATCAAACTGCATGTGAACTGGTCTTGTGACCATTTGCTTGTGCTCGGAATTTTTGTGGTATCCTTGAGATACACCCTGAGCTTGTCTTGCTTTGTTTTGCTTTGACTGATCTTGTGTCCACTTGCTCTCCCCCACTTAGCCTATGGGGGTGTGTCAAACATTATATATGTTGTATTTGTGTAGGCTACAGTGGGTTAGTCTTTAGGGGGTACACAATTCTAGGGTTAGGTACTTGTGCTCCCTTTCCTTTCTAGTCCAACACTTCTTCTTTCTAACATAAAGCCACATCAAAGCCACATCCTGCACCCCGTTGGCTCGCCGATCCTCTCTGACCCGCCACTCTCTCCGCCACCCCTGCAAAGCCTATGGGCCGGCCTCACGTGTGGCGACGGCTTGTGCGCCCGCCCCTTCCAGTTCCCCGCGTTTGGCCGCTTCGGCTGCGAAGCGGACTGCGGCATGTTCCCCAACCTCACCTCCGTGGTCGTCAGATTCTTCTCCCACCTCGACACACAGCAGGCCATTGACGAATCTACCTGGAACCTCTGCATGGTCAACCCGGTCTCCCTCTGCTGGTATGCTCGTCCTCTCCTCACACAACAACCCTTGCTGCATGCATGTTCTGTCCTTCCGCCGCTCTATGCGCTTCTTGCCGTTCTGTCCTATGTTCTCTGCTCATGCCACCCCATCCCATCCCATCCCACCCCTCGTCCATGTGTGGAGCGCAGGTACAAGGCGTTTCAGGCGTTTCCGCAGGGCGAGGCGGAAGTGTCAGTGGCGGTGGACATTCCGGACGGCGACTGGGTGGTGGTGCTCAACGCGCCCGTGGGGCGCAGACTTTTCAATCGACTCAGAAGTAACCTCAAAATCACCCCACGTCCACATGCATGTGTGTGTGTGTGTGTGTGTGTGTGTGTGTGTGTGTGTGTTTTTGTGTGCTACGCAGGTACGAGGCATTCCAGCCGTTCCCACGAGGAGAGGTGGAGGTGTCAGTGGCGGTGGACATTCCGGACGGCGACTGGGTGGTGGTGCTCAACGCGCCCGCGGGGGGCATCCGCGGCACCGTGCACGTGCTGCCTCCCGGCACGCGCTGCCTCTCCGTCGTCGGTGCCGCCTTCGCCGTTGGGCTCGCCGCCTGGGGTTCCTGTGCGCTTGATGACGGCGCTGTGGCAGCCAATCAGACAGAGCCAGGTGGCGGCGCTACTGTTGCTGCGCCTGACATCTGTCGTGATGTGAGCATGCCGTTGCTCCATGTGCTACCACTGTAGGACATACTCAGAAGTCGTCAGACACTCTTCCTGGGTGTGTGTATGGCTTTAATTGCATTTGATGCCAATCCCACCCTCTGACTGTATGCACACATGAATTCATGTGTGTGTGACCGCGTGCAGGCGTGTGCAAAGCTGGTGGCCTGCCTGCCAGCAACCTGCGGGCGAGAATTCACGGAGAGAGAGGTGGCAGGGGCGTTCGTGGACTGTGCGCGCATATGCATCATCGCACCCTCCTCCATCACCACCTATGCCAACTCTTCCTGCCCCATGGTGCGCTCTTGCCCCATGCTCCGCTCCCTGCCCCATGCTCCGCTCCCTGCCCCATGCTCCACTCCCTGCCCCATGCTCCGCTCCCTGCCCCATGCTCCGCTCCCTGCCTCGTGCTCCGCTCCCTGCCCCATGCTCCGCTCCCTGCCCCATGCTCCGCTCCCTGCCCCATGATACACCAGTGATTCAAATACTGGTATGGATTAACCTGCCCTGCCGCATGCTGCCCTTCGCGAAGCTGTGCGTCGTGATTCCTATACTCTTCATACAACCATGCATCTCCCTGCACCATGCCTCTCCCCGCACTACACTGTGTCAACCCTGCCCTTGTTTCTCTCTCCCTCCTCACACACAACCCCGCCGATGCCCCGTTGCACACTCTCCCAGCCAGAGATTGCATTGATGTTTTCCAACACGCCATGCAATGTGCCTGTATGTCATGCTCCCCTTCCTGCACCTCATTCCAGCCGTGCCACATACCAGCCTCCTTCATATGCGCTCGTTTCACTGATTGTACATTCCTGTCCACGTGGCCTCTCCTTGCCTTTCCTTATCTCTCCTTGCCTTTCCTTGTCTCTCCTTGCCTTTCCTTGTCTCTCCTTGCCTTTCCTTGTCTCTCCTTGCCTTTCCTTGTCTCTCCTTGCCTTTCCTTGCCTCTCATTGCCCTTCCTTGCCTCTCCCTGCTCTGCTGATACGTTGTGTGGAGCCGAGTGCCTCTCCCCTCCGTGCACGCCGCAACCCCCCTCACCGACTCGATCCCATCCCAGGCTCATACGCAGCGGTTCATGTGTCTGGTGGCAACCACCGCAAAGTGATCTCTCCTCGCTTCTTGTCAACCCTCGTCTGTTTCAACTGTTATTCCTTCTTGTGAGAGCGGTTCCTGACTGCCCGCTGTCACTCTTCCCTCCTCACTTATGCATTCCCACCTCCAGTTTCTCCTGTAATCACCTTGCTGCTCAATTCTGACTCGCTCATCCACTCTTTCACAACCTCCCTTTCCCAACCAACCCCCCCTATCCCTGATGCATGGCTGCTCTCAAGCGCTCTTCCGATTCCACCACTCTCACAGCTACGACCGCTGGCCCGCCTGTCCCTGGCCCGCATGACACCACCTCCCAACCCACTGCAGCTACAGTGCGCTGCCTTGCTGCCCCTGCTGTCAACTTACCCAGTCCATCTGCCACTTACACTGCTGCAGCACTCGCAGCAGCGCGCCCGCAAGAAGCACAGTGGTCTGAAGTGACACCAGCAGCATCAGCACCACCATCCCCAGCAGCAGCCATGGCAGTAGGTTCACCAGCAGCAGCAGTGATGGCTGCGGAAGGAACAGCAGCCACAGCGGACCCCACAAAACCTTCCCTCTGGTCCCACCTAGGTGCCACGGACCGACAGAGACTGACAGTCCTGCAGGTGGCGGTGTCGCGCGCGCTCTTCACCATGGCCAAGGACCGCTGCCTTGCAGGCCGGGCGCCGGGAGCAAGCAGGAAGCACGCGCAGGGAGGTCCAGGTAGCGTGAGGTGGAACATGGTGGCGTGCCTCTGCACCATACTGGGGGGGCCCTCCAAGACGCTGGACGAGTGTCGCCTCACGGATGAAGCAGGGCAACGGGTGGAGTCTATTCCGAACATGTATGTGTACCTGCACAGCACGCATGTGAGGGGCGGGCGCGTGATCTCATTGCAGCACATGCGGCGCTTCGTGCAGATGGTGGCGGCGGCGCCGCGCTCCGTGACGCTCATTTCGGATGCGGCGGCTGCGCGCCTCAACACGCTCATGCACTCCTTCGATGATGCCATCGTCACCTCCGATGCTGTCGGCTGCTCTCAAGGTGCTCATGGCTGGTGCTCCTGCTGGTGGGTGCGTGCGCAAGTGCGCGAGTCTGTGGATGTATGTATGGGAGTATGTGCACGGTGCATGTATGTGTCGGTGTATGTCTGCGTGTTGTTACTATCAATTTGCCACCTCAAATGGATCATATTAGACTGCTGCGGCTCCTCCTCTCGTTTCTGACTCCTGTCAGGGGGTGCATGGCTGCAGTGGCGAGCGGATGTGAAGCACAACACGACCATCCATGTGGGCGACAAGGTCACCTGGGTGTGGGATGACGACCTTCCGCACTCACTCAAAGGTGCTCATCTCTACCACCTGCGTTGGTGTCACTAGTTCTTGTGTGCAACCGATCCTACGCCTTATGCATAAGAATCCTGATCTATCTTGCTCCCATTCTACCCTGTGAACCGCTTTTTACTTGTTTGCCTACACCACTTCATCCCCAATTCTCTCCATTGCCACCACCATCAGTGGCAGCGATGGGTGAAGAAGAGGACCCGCTATTTCTAGGCTTTGGAGGGCACCGCTTGGTCGTGTCACGCAAGCTGGCATGCACTCCCATGAATGTGGGCCAGTGGGACACTTAAGAAGAACCACAGCAATGCGTGCTGAGTGAGTGGGGGGGGGGGGGGGGGGGGGGGGGGGGGGGGGGATGTGCTCAGCGATGAGGTATGCTGGGTCAGCGGGAGGCTTTCTAATAGCTTGGCATCACATTATTGTATGAAAACGTTCAACACATGGCTGTCCACATCCACACATGGATGTCCTTAACCATGGGAAATCGAAGCCAAAATCATTTGAACTTGTTTGGGTCGAACTGTGTGACTGCCGGTTCGAGGTTCGACTCTATCAATGAGAACCGCAATGAAATAAGATTATGCATCCCTTCATTATGAAAACATTTTTTTTAACCACTATTTTGTTTGCTTGCCAGCCTTTTTTGTAATAAAACAAGTTGAGTTGGAAGTAAAACACCGTGAGAATCATAGGTGTTGCAGAGGAACAACGAACCAACTGCAGATGAACTAAGGAATCTGTGGAGTAAAAAAGGTCCAGCACCTTTTTGTCGCCCCTAACATCATTTCAGTCAACGGCACACGCTTATCGAGCTCATTTTTTGCTTGACTAGTGACGATTTTTCTTCCCACAGCGTAGACTACCAGCACACGTACTTGTTAGATAGATATAGGCTCGCGTAGACAAATTCTTCTCTTTAGCCCAATTTACGGTAGCGGATTTCTTTTACACAAAAATCACTTTATTGTTGGCGTTTCCACCTGGTATAGCCAGCTAGAACTCTGAAATTCACCATTTGGGACGGTGTGACAATAACGAAGGCCTCTTATTAGGAAACATGAACATGTTTGCCCCGACCGTGTTTGTGCTCGAAGGTAACATCAAGGTGTTCAATTATCAATTATCATCCTCTCCTATACTGCAGATATGCCATCATTCTTGTGGATAGAGTTTAGGTGTCTAGTTGAGACCTACCCGAGGTAAGGTAGGAATGCCAACTTTTTGGTTTGGACATTACGCTACACAACCTTACGGGCATTCCTACCCAATCCAACCCTACACACTTTTTGGTTGGGCAAAACCATTTACCTCGGGTAAGGTTGGATTGGACATTATTGTAGCGCCGATCGTCCTGGTCCCACCTTGGCCAAGATTTTTGGGTTCCGACCCAACTTAGTAGTGGGTTAATAAACTTAGCCGAGGACTTCACCAAGCTCCCTATCCTTTCCACTATATATACATTCACCTTTTTCTTGTAGAGTTGACGCGGGCGGCTACATCTGGCAAGCACTGTTCAGAAGTTTTGATTTTGAATGCACAATCTCATGTGTGTGCAGAAGTTGGTGTGATGTTCCATGCTCTCACACAGTTTCGTTTTTTTCTGCCACACTTTTTGGTTTTGTGTAGCGCCAGCAAATGGTTGTGCATGACAGTGATGTTCATCCTGACTCACCAAGCATGTCTACGCAGTCTCATGCCTCGTGGCAACACGTTGCAAATCGGACTGTTTTCCATTGCAGCACAAACTTCGCAGACGCATTTTGAAAAGCTTGCATGTTGGACTAGAGGATTCGTTTGCTGTGATTGCAAAAGAAGGCACTGTCGGATGAGTGATTTCCTCCGTACAATGAATCACGCTCTGACACGGCATGGCCCTTACAGGCCGACCTGACCGCACAAGCATCGACCACACTAGCCCCGACCACACAAGCCCCAACCACGGCTGCGGCCACACATGTCCGGCGGGTTGGCGCAGGGCCAGCCCGACTGTCCTCAAAGATCTGCTTTGGCCTGTCATCATATAGCAGTGTGTGTGTGCCCCGTCACACTCTGCCGAAGTTCATGTGTGTAGCACACATGGCTGTCCACATGCACACGTCTGTCCTTTTACATGTGCCATCTCACCCTGCTGCATCCTCACCTCACACCCGAGCTTTCCTCCCACTGTCCTCCACTCCCTCCTGCGCCTCCCCCAATCCGTCCAACCAGAGATGGACGACGAGTCCCCTGGCTCCTTCTCGTACAGCAAGGTGTTTGACGAGCCAATCACGATCCACTACGAGGATGGCACTCTCTCTGTCGACGACTCCTCCACCTCCTCCGCGTCTTCCTCCTCTGCTGTGTCTCTTCTCATTGTGCTGCCTGCACGAACAGGAGCTGCGGTTGCTGGTGAGCTCTGCATGCCATACCACATGCCATACCACATGCCATACCACATGCCATACCACATTCCGTACCACATACCATGCTGCATGCCATACATACCACTGATACCACATGCTGTTCCACATGCCATACCACAAACCACACCCCATGCCATACAGCATGTCATACTCCATACCGTACCATCTGCCAATACCGCACGCATGGCTTACCATGTGCCAAAGTTGCATGGCTTGCCATGTGCCAATGTTGCATGCAATATTACATGCCATATCGCATGGCATGCTCATGCCATGGTGCGTGCTATGCTGCATGCCTATCTTCGTGCTATACTTCATGCCACTTGGCATTTGTGACTTCCTTCAACTGCTCTCTCCCGCTTCTTCATGTTTTCCTGCATTTCCCTTCACCATCCATTCATCTTCATCATCCATCCCGTGCATGCTATGCATGCATGGCAGATGTTGGGAATGCCACTGACAATAGCACTCTCTCAAGCACAGCACGTGTCACTGCCACCAACACCACCACCCCCGCCTTCTCCTCCTCCGCCTCCTCCTCCTCCTCCTCCTCCTCCTCCTCCTCCTCCTCCTCCTCCTCCTCCTCCTCCTCCTCCTCCTCCTTGCCATCCTCCGCCGCCGCAGCAGCGTATGAGTGCTCGCCGGGGTGCCGGCTGCAGCGGCTGGCGAACGGGGGTGTGCGATGCGGCGTGTAACACTCCCGCGTGTGCCTTTGATAGTGGTGACTGCGCGTGTGTCGACCCGCTCTTTGGCCAAGGCATCTGTGCCTGCCCGCCTAGCCACACCCGCCGCGACGACGGCTGTCAGTCATGCCTCCCCCCTCTCCACCCGCCTCTCCGGCTCCCTTCCTATTCTCACTCCACTCGTACAAATTCCCAGTTTGCGCTTTCTTTCAGTGGACTTGTTATCCTACCATCCCTGCTCTTCCTACCTCATACACCTCCTCCTCCTCCTTCCCCGCCCTCCCCCATATCCAGCGTGCTGTCTATCCACGACGGTGGGCATGAATCTCAACTTCCCATTCTCGTTGCAGCGCTACGGCCCCAACTACACGGAGAGCAACTTTGCCTTTACGGCTGAGAGGGGCATCGCTGTCAACCGCTTCGTGTCACGTCGCAACCGGTATGACCCCATGCCTCCCTGCCCTGCCATGCCTGCCATGCCAGGCGCCACACTTGGACCCAACAACATCTTGCATTACCAAGAGAGGTACCGCTGTCAACTGTGTCGTCTTGCATCTGTACCGGAGGGACAGCAGGCTGCACCCTCCCACGTGTTGTCAGTTTGTTCCATCAGCTTCTGTTTTCCCATCATAGCCTCTGCACCTCCGCTCACCAGCACGATCAGCTTTGAACCCTCGTCTCCCATATCCCTCTGCCATTTCTCTTCCCCCTCCCTTCCTCTCCATGGCAGTTTGCTGATTGGCATGGTTCTGCAGTAGGATCGGTGGGGTGCGAAGCAGTGCAATGGATCGGGGTGAGTGGCTCTCATGATGCTTGTCTCATCCTATTGCTGTGAGTGCGGCCACAGGTTGCTATTCATATCCTCCTTTGCCACCTCTTCCCCACCAGCTGCACCACCTCTTCCCAACCAGCTGCACCTCTTCCCCCACCCCACCAAGTGTGCCTCCTCCTTTCCCCCCCTCCCCAGGCTGCTGCACCTGGCGGGGTGGTGCAGCAACGGCACGTCCAGGGAGCCGTTTGGAGTGAACCCCCACTTTCTGCCCACGTCGACCATCTACGACAGCGCTGCCAGCGCCAACATGACCCAGCTCGACAACAACACCTTTGGCGTCAAACTGCGCTTCAACCCGCAGGACCTTCTCTACGGCTTCATCTACCCCGTGGTGCGTGGTGGTTCCTTAATTTACCCCGTGGTGCGTGGTGGTTCCTTAATTTACCCCGTGGTGCGTGGTGGTTCCTTCATCTACCCCGTGGTGCGTGGTGGTTCCTTCATCTACCCCGTGGTGCATGGTGGTTCCTTCATCTACCCCGTGGTCAGCCATTTCAAGCATTTGAGCTCCGAATAACTTGCCTTTGCGAAGGATTTCCATACTCTATGCAGCTGGTGCAAGGACTGACTGGACCGTATAGCTCATAGCTCCCTAATTGCATGACTGATGAGCTAGAATGGCCCGCAACATGGATTGGACTAAGGTGAATGCAATTTCCAATGGTTCACGGAGTTGTAGATGTTTGAACAAAAGTGTGAAATATGAGAGGAATGATTTTGTTTGTAATTGTGATTGTTTTGCAGGAGTCCCTCACAACTCTCCCCCTGGTGTTTGATATCAATCTCGACCAGGAGGCAGCCATGCGCCGTCTACACTACCTGGTGGATGGAAGTTATATCGACAATGGCACTCGCGGTGTGGACGTCAGCTTCATCACTTTCAACGGTACTTGCTTTGCTCCTGACCACCAAAGGTGAAATCTAACCGTACCTAGAATTTCACTCTGAGTTGACCCAAGTGCATGTCTTCTGACGTTGTCTTTTAGCGGCATTCACTGCTTTCTCCCATGCCTTGTGCGTCCACAACCTTCACCCCACATTGGCAGGCAAAACGCTCACGTTTGTGCTGACCACAGTGACCTGCACGTTGAACGCTGGAGGCAGCATGGCGGTGACCATAAAGTCACAGCCGGCAGCCATGGCCATGTACAATGCATCGACAGACAACATCGCACGGCTGGTACTGGAGGTGGTGTATCTGGTGGGGCTGCTCTGGAATGTGTGTGGCGAGCTGCAGGAGATGGCCGAATGCACTGCCGTTGATGGCTCTGTGCTCAGTTACTTTGGCCTCGTGTGGAACTGGGTCGACATGCTCTCCTTCGCACTGCAACTGGCTTCCGTTGTCATCTGGTACGCAACCAGCCAAGCTGTGCGAGGGAGGGGTGGACCTTGCCTTGCTATTCATCCTGGGTTCATCACCTCATCTAGAATAGAACCATGCTTATGGCTGCTTCCTCGCTGCTCATCCATCCCACCCACACGCCCTGCTTCTCTCATCTCCCTGGCCTCCACATGTGCGCGCGTGTGTCGGTGTGGGCAGGGTGGTGCTGTGGTGGTACGTGGACGCGTTTGACATGCAGCCACGCTACGACATCTACTACACGCTGCTCGAGATGCCGCGCTACTGGGCCGTGCCCAACCCGCCCACGGGCTTCATCGGCGCCACTCAGGCCTTCGCAGAGCTGCGTAACATCATCAACCTCCGCGCCGTCTACTTCGCCCTTCAGGGCATCATGTGAGTCGCCTTGCACGCGCGCGTGTGTGCGTGCGTGCGTGGGTCAGTTCTCGTTCTTAATGTGTAAAATCACAAGTTGACCATTCACTTGACTCAATTGCTCATGTATAGTTGGCATTACGGGTTGACGATCAATCTTCAATTCACCACACTTTTACTCCCCAGAATATGCTCCCTTACCCACCTCCACCTTTCTGCCCTCCCAATTCCCTTCACTAGCCTCGCCACGCCCTCGCTGCACTTCTTCCTGCTCTCCTTTGCCGTCTTCTTCTGCTTCACCATGTACGGCTACCTCGTCTTTGGAGGCGCACTCGAAATGGTATGTGTCTGGCTGAGTGAATGTATCACTCCTTTTGCTCGAGCAAGGCTCTGTGTTCAGCTTTACCTTGTTTCTCTTCGTAATTGCCAACCTTGCCTTTGCTTTATTTCCTTTTTTTTTTTTTTTTTTTTTCTGTCACGTCGTATACCCCAACCATCTCCCCCTCTCCCGCCCCCCACCCCACCCTCTGCAATTCTCTACAGTGCTAGAGTCCATGTTCTCATGTTTCCTCCTCCTCAACGACAACTCCTCAGCCTTCTTCTTCCAGCGCCTGGCGTCGTGGGACCTCATAGCCGCAATGCTCTTTTTCTTCATGTTCATCGTCTTCATGGTCTTCATCCTCCTCAACTTCCTCATCGCCATCATCGTCGATGCCTTCATGAGTGTCAAGGATAGCAACATCGTTGCCACCTCTATAACCTCTGACCTAGGGCATATTATCAAGTACAAATGGAATTGCTGGCGTGGCCGTTACTTGCGGTATCCCGTCATTCTCGACCGCCTTGTGGAGTTGGGAGCTAAGGACACCCGAGTGGAAGAGGTGAGATCTGGGCACCCAAGATCATCCTTGTTGGCAAGGTTAGAGGTCAAAGAATCCGTTCATTGATTGCAATTTCTTACCAAATGGCCTGTGTACGCACGAGAAAAAATAAAAAAAATCCAAGCCCGTGTCCAGTTTAGCTCAAACATGTTGGAGTCTAACCGAACAGGGTTTTTTCTTTTCTCCAAAAGAATTTATCCAAAGGCGTTCAATATACATGGGTAATGGGGGGAGTTCTTGCCTTAACTCATCCGGAGGACCCGTCAAATAGCGAGTGACGGGTCTTGAGATTTTCGTCCTAGCTGAATAAAGCAAAGCTCGGCGAGTTGATAAACTCGTAAAACTCGTTGGTTGAACAGGTTTTTTTGGTATAGTGCGAGCTTGTTGAAATCGCACGAACTTCTTTCACTCATCGAGCATGCGGATCGAGAGTTTCGGCCGCCTATCCATGCCGATTAGCGAATTTGCCCCTCAATCTGTGCGGGTCGGTGATTTCACCCGCCGATCAGCTCATTTCAACGATTTCCGAGATTTCACCCGCCGGTCCGCACAGTTCATGATAAAAAACAGTAATTTGCGTCGAGTAATGAGCCAAGAGGATCTATAGTACAACCAAGGAGGAAGAAAGGAGGGGAAAGGAAGCTAACGCTAGTGGTCACTAAGTTGGCTAATGGGTGAGTTTGCTTGTAGCCCAAGCAACCACAATTGTACTTTGGTTGGGATTGGTGGGGCTAAATACCAGAAGTTGGCAGGTGCCAACCAAGGACCAAGGACCACAACCAATCTTGACCAACCACAAGTTGTGTTTGGCAGGTACACCTCCAACCCCCCCCCAACAGTCCCCCCTCACCCCCCCCCCCCCCCCCCCCCCCCCCTCCCCTCCCCTCCCCTCCCCAATATAACAAATTACTACACTCAATTATCTAGCCTATGGGTTGTATGAAGTATAGTATTACAACAGGTCCAGCATAACCAAGATTCCTCTCCCAGCATATTTGCCACTTGAGTTTTCAAGCGATTCGCCACCACTTACCTCTGTTCACTGCAGTGTACAAATCTCAACCACCACTTCAAAGTTAGACGAGAGTTTTGTTATGCTGGGTTGTGACGAGGGTTTTTATTTGTCATAATCGCCTCAAATCCGTTTCTTTTTTCTCCACACCCATCGTTTCCCCCCTTATTGGGTGGGCTCATTGCTCGATGGTCTCCAATTGTGCACTCCCTTTCTGCAAAGCTCTAGTGGAAACCCCTTGACATCAAGTTTTTTTATGTAGACTTGCGTGCCTCCCAAGTTGGGCCGCGGGCTTTAAGAAGTCCAATGACGTCCGTGGCCAATGTTGCTGCTTCGGTCCCATTACTTGAGCATATGTGTCGAGTTTTACTCCACGTGTATTAGTAGCTCGCATCCGTTAAGTAACGGGTCTGTGTGTGTGTGCGTGCGTGCGTGCGTGCGTGCACGTGCGTGCATGCGTGCAGTATGTGCGCGTGCGCGTGTGTATGCCCGGCGAGTTTCTTTTCCCAGTCAGCACGGGCATTGCTGCTGGCTTTTTTCAGAATCTAATGCTTCTACCGAGAACCTCTTTTTAATTCGCGTGTGTTGCTGTAGTCGAATCATCGGATGCGCCGCCTGCAATCGATAAAGCGGCGGACGCGAGCCATCTTCCTTGGCAACTGTGGCGGTGACTGCAGGCCATCGCACTCTGGTCGCGGGAACAACCAGCCCGCTTTCCCACCCGATAGCGACTCTCAAGAGCGGCGGCAGCACGTGCTGACAGCGAGGGAGAAGCGCATCGATGCCATCTCACTCGCTATGATCCTGCAGCGCCGCCATGACAGGGAGGTGCGTCCATTTTGGCGTGATTGTCGCAATGAGTATTGAAGCATGCCATTTGTTGTGCTATGGCTTATCTTGTGCCATATGCTGTGCCACGTTATGTGGTTGTGCCAGGGCATGTGTTATGCCATGCCTTGTGGCAAGCCAGGCGTTGTGAGATGCATATCTAATGATTGTGATGTGCTGAGTTCTGTGCATGAATTTTCACATCAATCTGTCCCCGCATGTCTTTCTATCCACTGCTCTTCCCATGCTTCACAATCTGTTCCCAGCTAGGTGAGCCCCACAAGACTGAGTCACTGCCCAAGTTTTGGCCCCGGACAGGTTCGAGTGAGGGTGGAGAGGCGCTGGAGCAGCTGTCGCAGGCAGTGGTGCTACAGTGCGGCGAGGTCGTGAAGCAGGCTGTCCTGCCCATTAAGAAGCCCGTGCAAAAGCTCAGTCTTGCTCACATCAAGGTGGGAAAGGAAGGCCGTGTACGGTGTGTTGGGAGCACAGTTCAGATGGGTGTGTGCGGATACAGAGGGCGTCGCTGTCATGATCACAATGGCTGAGAATCAACAAGAGCCTTCAAGCAGGCATTCAGCGTGAAATCCCTGCCATGCATTCACAGCATCTTTTCATCCTCCTCCTCCCTTTCCCACGCCAACCCCAACTCCTCCCTGCCCTTGTGTGTGTGTGAGAGAGAGCAGGAGGAGTTGGCGTGCAGCCGGGCAGAGGTGAAGGAGCTGAGGGGCATGATGGCAGACATGCAAGCACTCATGCTCGACCTCCTCGCCCGCACGCCCCCCACGGGAAAGACTGCCCATGCAATGGGTGCTCCCGCAGGGCTGCCAGCGCCGTCAGGCATGCTGCGAGCCTACACAGAGCCCTCGCGTCTCTCCGTCTCTCTCACGGACTCTTCGGAGCCTCTGGAACAAGCGGGAGGCAGGAGGGACATGCCACAAAGGGTCTGCGATAGCGGGACTGGTGGGGGTGCAGTAGACGGGGTGGAGAGAGAGGGGGGCGTATGAGACGTCTCGAGCATTGCAAGAGGGAGCGCAAACAGAAGTTTGTTGGCATCAAAGCAAGGCTCTGAGAGGCGGGTGTCATTTAAAGGACACAGCGGCAAATTAGAAGATCCCTTCAAAAATAGGGGGGGAGTGGAAGCAGCAGCCCCTGGTGTGAAGTTTTTTTGACTGGTCTGGTCCTGCCATGCCAGTAACCAATACAAGCAGTCTTGCATTGGAGTGGTGCAGTATGCTAACAACTCTGTGCTCTACTGGTGATTCTGATTGGCTGGTGGAGCTACTGGAATCACGTTCCTCTTTTGTAGGGAAAAGAGGGGTGAGTAGCGTCGAGCCACTACCTTTGCTTTGCTGGCCACGTCCTCGTTTTCACAATACGAAATTTGAAAAAGTGTTACTCTTTTACAAATTATAATATAATGCAGCCTCTGTGCAATCAGCCTTTAGGAATCGACTACTGCAAAATTGTTGGCTCACAATCAGTTCTACATCATGTTCAGGTACCACTCTGAATAAACTAGCATGATAATGACATGTTTTATGAGTTGTATTTGAATGCAATGATCATTAAGATGTGTGCCCCATTTTTATAAATTTGCAAAGCGAGTCTCCGGTGGTATGGGCCCGTCTGAACATCAGACCAAGTTTTATTACCTTCTTCCTGAACGTTCTTAAAATCAGAAATGTATCTTTTGGAGAGGATAATTTCGGTAGAGTAAGACAGCGGAAGACTTTATGGGCTGTCCTTTATCATAGTGAGTGTAAATCACAAGAAGATAATAGAAAATACATTGCAATTTATAGTCATGATAACAGTAAATAGAGGTATTTCTGCAGTAGCAGTGACTATCGCGATCCCATTCAGTTACCTCGTTGCAGCGCAAAACCTCCGAGATGGTTGCGACCTGTAAAGCAGTTCGCAACCTCTTTGTTCAAATTGGTCAACAGTCGCGATAGCTGACCCGCGAGTATTGACCTGTGTGCTCTATATGAACTAGCACAGTAATAGTGAAGGTGTTGCTTTGCTAGTAGCAGGTTCAGTAAGACTACACCTTCTGGAATGTTAGAAACACCTTTTGATTATTTCCAACCCTCCCCTTCATTCCTGAAGGTGTGCCACGTGGGACTTCTTAGCGACTCCGCACAGATCCGTGCAGTATTGGAACTTCTGATATGGCAGTTTCTTTGTCATGAAGTCTGCTACCATTTCGCTAGTTGGGCAGTAGGTAAGTTTGACTTTGCCCTTGTCGATTTCGTCCTTCATGATTAAGTAACGAAGGTTGATGTGTTTCGTGCTGTTAACGAAGCTCAGCTTGTTCGCGATCTTGATTACGCACTGGTTGTCGCACAGTAACTTGAATGACCCGTACATCGTAACTTTTATTTCCTGCAAGTGTTCCATCGGGTAGAGCCTTTCCCAAACTGCTGCACTCGCGGCAGTAAACTAAGCTTCAGCTGATGAAAGAGCTTTAAGTTCCTGCTTCTGGGAGTTCCGAAATGTTAGAAGTGGTTCGCCGCTGCACCGACTCTAAGGCATGAAATCGATAAGAAGAGACACTTGAAAAACGTCTTAGCTATGGCGGTGGGAAAGAATAGGCTGAAAATTGAGTTTCTGGCGGTGGGAGGAGCTAGCTGAGAGATCGTGAGAAACAGTGGGGAGAAACAAAGGTTTTAGGAGAGAGTGAAGAGATAACGTTCTCAACCACCAGAATTTTCTTGGCGGTCTACCCGCTCGTCTTCTGTTCTCAGCTCCAGTTGTGAGGCTGAGATCTACGCCACAGCCATGGCTGCATAGGAGTTACGCCGGCTCACCTACCTGCTGACCGACTTGGGAGAGAGGCCTCGTTCTCCTCCAGTTCTGTACGTCGACAACAGGGCTGCCATTGCCTTGTGTCAGGACCACAGACTTGAGCACAGAACGAAGCACATCGCTCTGCGTTACTTCCTTGCTCGAGATTTGCAGCAGCGTGGTCAGCTTCGTGTTGCCCACGTGCCCACCCGGGCGAACACGGCTTCGTGTCAACCATTCCGGAGGCGATGTTCGGTGGAGTTGAAGAAAGTCGGTTTCAACGAGGGTTCAGTTTGAATTTAGGTTTTCAACGTTGGTTACTGTTACGAAATTTGGATTCGCGACGCGGCGCATTACGCGAGGCGCACTTTGAAATTCGGATTTCGGATTGCTTAAATATCACGTTATGTTTTCCTCATTGTATCATTTTTCATAGTGAAACTTTTTGTTTGCAATCTGGGTTGGAAAGCAACCTGTTTCTTAAACTTTTAGATACAGTTTGAAGCCCGCTACTGCTGTTTTCGTGGCTTATAAGTCACGTACTCACTACGATTGAGTCCGAGAGCTGGTATCAGAGCTGGTTCTAGTGTGTTTCAAACATTCAAGAAGGGCCAAGACAAGTTCCTGCATCATGCCGAATGGGGATGTTGAGGCAAGTTCGGGTTCTTCAGTCAATGCTGAAGTTCCCCAAGCCCAAGCCCTCTTGGAGGCCCTTATACAAGGGCACGTGGTGGCCAGGCCAACGATTGGCCTGAGCGAGGTGCAACGGTTCAATGGCAACAATTACAGCACATGGCGACTTAAGTTCATGCGGAGGGCAAGAGAAGTTGATAGCTGGCCTTTCTACAAAGCGGACGAGGAGACGGAGGAAGGAATACCTCCACCTGCAACGGCAACGGCACAAGAAAAGAGGACATACAAGAAGAAGAGTTTGCAAGCCTTCTTCCAACTATGTCACTCAGTTTCGGACTCCATCGCTGTGGGGCTAGACCAGTTTGCAGACGACATCAATTCAGCACAACGTGCATGGGCATACATGGAAGCCGTATATCTCGGACGGACTGACACGAATCTGACTGCAGTGAGAAAGAAACTGCTGCTGCTTGCAATGGAGCCAATGGAGAAGATCATTGACTACGTGAATCGAGCCAAGAGCTACAACGACGATCTCATTGCAATGGGGGCGCCCAAATCGGAGAAACACATGATGGGCTACATCATCAGAGGTCTACCCAAGGAGTGGACAGCTGAGATCAGGATCCTTACCTGCAACACGCCCAAGGATATGACCCAGCTGCTTGAGACCCTCCAGGCGCTTGAGCGGGTCAAATCTGACCTGAAAAGAAGGGAAGCAGCGGCAACGGCAGCAGAGGTCAAAAGACCTGCAAATCTGAATGCAACAGCAACACCAAGGGATTTTGGCAACTTCTTCCACTGCGGGAAGAAGGGACACAAAGCAGCCGACTGTTACTCCAACCCGAATGGAAGGAGCTTCAAAGGGAAGGGGCGTTGGCAACAAAACAGCGAAACAAGACGTGGAGAAGGCTACAAGGCAAGCGGAGGATTCAATGGAAACTGCAACCATTGCGGCAAATGTGGGCACAACACCTCCGATTGCTTCCACAACCGAGCTAGCAGAAATTTCCAAGGAGAGGAGCTGCAACAACTAAGGCCAGCAGCAGCGAAGACAAATCTGATGGAGGCACCTGCAGCTGTGGAAGAAACGCCAAAAGTTGACGCCATCCTTGGAGGCGCCCACAAAGCCAACATTGCTCGAGCATCCGAGGTGTGCCTGCTGTCAAAAGGATTCAAGGAAACGGCTTGGTTTATGGACAGCGGGTGTACACAGCACATGACACACCGATCTGATTGGCTACGTAACTACCGGGAATCCGGAGTCCCTTATGTCCTACTCGGCGATGAAGGAAAACTTCAAGTGCAAGGAGAAGGGGACCTGATCTTACAGAGTCCCTATGGGGAGCTGAAAATGGACAACGTTCTACTGGTGGAGAAGCTGTCCCTTAACCTTATAATTCAAACGCAACTGGACAGCAGTGGCTGCAAGACCTTCAGTGACAATGGAAAGCTGTGGGTGTTCGGTCCCAACTGGAAACTCGTAGCAGAAGGCGCACGGATTGAAGGACTCTATGAGATGAAGCTGAAGGAGCGAGATACTCGTGAAAACAAGGTTACCTATCAACCTGAACCTGAAGAAGGGAAAAAGGCCCAAGAAGAGCTACATACCATGCTGGAAAGTACTGCAGTGACCGAGCTGCAGCAGCTGAAGTTTCCCGTGGCAGCAGCGGTAGAGGCGGTTGACATCAATCTTCTGCACAAACGGATGGGGCATGCAAGCACTCAACGGATCAAGGAAATGATGAAAGATATGGCAGCGGGAGTGAAGGTGAATGATGATGAGGAAACGTATACGAAGTGCGACTCATGTATTGAAGGGAAAGCTACAAAGGCTCCCCATCCAAGACATGAACCGAATGAGCCATATAGGGCAATGGAAGTGGTGGCAGCGGATGTATGCGGTCCAATGAGGGTCACATCACGACATGGCATCAGATACTTTGTCACATTCACCGACATCGGCACAAGGCTCACATGGGTGATGGAAATCAAGGACAAAACTCAAGTTTTTCCGAGTTTCGTTGATTGGTTGGCGGAAGCTGAACGGCAAAGCGGCAAGCAGCTGAAAACTTCGAACGGACAATGGTGGGGAGTTCATCAACAAGGACTTCAACGAATACCTGAAAGCCAAGGGAATATGACGGCAGCGTACTATTCCCCATACCCCTCAACACAACAATATCGCAGAGCAGGTGAATAGGACATTACTCAACAGTGTGCGAAGCATGATAGCGGACAGCAAGCTACCTCTGACCTACTGGGGAGACGCGCTAGGCATGTCTTGCTGGCTGAAAAATCGCCTACCGACAAAGGGACTTGTAGCGGACCTGACACCTCACGAGGCATTCTACAAACGGATGCCTAACCTGAAGCTTCTTCGGGTATGGGGCTGTATGACGCACTACAGGCCCCCTGCTGGAGCTGATTACAAACTTCTGCCAAGTGCAAGGTGGGGGGTGCACTTGGGAACATGTCCAGAAAGCAAGGGCTGGATTGTCAAGGACATGGAGACTGGGATTGTGCTGGCGACCAGAGATGTGACATTCTACGAAAACCTCAACTACGTGGACTGGAAGGCAAG